TGGATTTCTCAGCTTATAGCTTTCTCTGAACACATGTTTCGTATCTATTATACATTTACTGCAAATAATGTTGCAATATTCACTTCCTGCTCTCCTTAAACGTTGTTAAATCATTTTTAAAGGGTTTTTTTTAACATAAAAATCAACATTAAGATTAATTCAAGAAGAACTTGGTTTAGTATAAATATGTTCTTTAAAAAGTAATGTAATTTATTGTATTTAACTTAAACTCAATAGAAAACCAGAAGAAATTTATAGAATATATCTTAAGCAAAGCACAAACTGAGAAAAGGTGAAAAAATCAAGCAGAAAATGCTTGCTGTCTGGCAAAACAATTTGTAAATTGCTTCCGACAGCAAATTCAATAATAACAACAGCAGCAGCAGCCGGAGCAGCCGGAGAGGCAACTGCTGGCAACTAATAGTTACTTTCAATCATTCATCATCGATTTCAATAAACAATTTCAATGGCCAGGGCAGCGCTCCCCTCGAAAGAGCTTTGAACGTGTGAAAGATTTGTTTCACTCTGCCTGGCTCTTTCCCTCCTCCTGGCCATTTTCTTCTGCCACTTCTTCGGGGCGATGACTGGCCGAACAGAGTCGAGAGATCCATTTGGGCCTTATGATGCCGCATCTTCTATTGCTTCAATCATACGTATGTACATATACATACAGATATATAATTGGAAATTCTCGACGCTTACATAGGTAGTTACAAAATCACAAATGGATATTTGACGAGGCAGGCTGAATAAAAAAACAAGAGCCTGTCTTTGTGGCACATGCAACCTTGACATTTTATGGCGCCCCAAGTGATCACAAAATAGGGAGAACGCCCATGCCGAATATTAGAATATTTCAGAGACGCGATCAAAACGTGTTTCGATAATCGTCTCAAAATGTCAAGAGTCGAGCCAGCGAGCCAAATGATGCGATATATATATATTTATATAGACATTACTTATATCCCGAGTGGCAGAACAACAGTCAGCGGGCTGTTAGAACCAGTCAATGCTAATAACAAGTCGGTTGCTCAATAAAATATATTACCAAATAAGCGAGGCATTTATCAATTGTTTTATTTGAAAATATTTTTTGGCACCGATTGTGACAAAGAATTTCTTACTTGACGGGTTGATTTGATCACCATGAGCTTCATATTTTTAATAGAGGCTTAGAGGTACCCAAAACTATATTACATTCTTCCCTAGAAAACACCTGTGCCTTTGAGTTTTCCTTCCAGAAATCTGTATGCAAGTCGCAACACTTTCCTCTGGCTCTTCTAGAACACTTTTTTTTGTGTCGTATGCTAAACAAAAGACTCAGGAAACGAACTGGAAGCTGGCACTTGGCTCACTTCGCTGTTCCTCTGCTCGCTCCTCCTCCGGCATCGGCGGATAATTGTGGCATAAAAATTGCTTTTCATTTGCCTCAAAATGAAGCAATTGTTGGCTGCTGGAGGCGGGGATGGGGGGAATGCAGCCGGTGGGGAGGCTGGAATGCCATGCGGATGTGAAACTGCGCATGTGCGGCGCGGCGCTTCTTTTGTTTTGTTTTCTTTACGTTATTATATATTTTCTTTTTGCCACTTTCTGGGCAGCTGCTTAACATGCCACACAAGCAGCAGCAGCGCGGAGGGGGGAAAATCAGAGGTGGGGGGGGAACGACCAGACAGGCAGCATAAAGAAGATGCAACTGCAACAGTAAAAATATGTAATTATGTTAGAAGACAGCCAGCAGCTGCCACGGCTCTCCAGCTATGCTCTCCTCAAGCTACACTGAAATAAAAAAAGATTAAGAAGATTTTAAAATTCTTGTATTAACTGAACTGTAATAACTTATCAAGTAATGAAAGTGCCTTTGTTTTTCTCCATGTGTACATCTCCTGACCCATCCAATTTCCCCCTATTCCCACTAACTCGTACCTTATTTATTACCCAGCTTAGCTTTTTATCTGAATTTATTATGCAATTCGTTTGGTTTTTGCTCTTCAATTGATTCCGTCTGATGGATTTATGTCGAGAGCGTTTGACAAATTATAATGCCCAGGCATTTGCCTAATGTTTAGCATCGTTGTCGTGCTTTCGGCCAGTAAGTACTTGGCCAACGAAACGAACGAAACTTGTTTGGTCATTTGTCAAATGTTTGACGGCATCGTGACATCCAAATTGAAATATGTGTGCGGATGCAACGCGGCTGAGAGGAGATTTCCACATCAAATTAACTGCCAATCTGGTATTAATTTCATTGATCTGGCGATTAAATTGCCACAGCCGAAAATCACTCAATTTGCTTGGCCAAAAATCGAGGCAAAAAGTACCCTTCCCCTTTCGATTGTCTGAAATTTATGCGCTCGCTGAACTTGAGCAGTCTCAACAAAGCTGCATAAATAAAAATAAAATTGGGGAAGCAAACAAACATATTGAGCAAGCCAAAATCAGCTATGATTTATTATGTCTCAACCGGTCTGATCCCCATCAAGCAGACGTGCCCCTCCTCCACTTCCCCACCGACAGGCGGCGGCGGCTATGAGAATTGGGTCGAAATTAGCAACTATTTAAGCCAATTTTGATGCGTTTTAAAGCTGCGAGATGCATGGGAACTAAGTTATGGGATGTTTATGGACAAGTGCTGACGGGTCTTGAGATCTCTTTAGAGGCAAGTGGGGAAAAAAAGAGTCTCAAGATTTTATAGTGAATAAAATTCAACAGAGGAAATACTTGTATACAGAAAGGAAAAGGTTGAAAACAGTATTTGTAGAAAAGAAACCTCAAATATTCAATGGAATTGTAGCACATTTAATTAAAATTCTCCAACTTTGAATGCCATTCAAAAACATTCCCACTGCAACATTTAATTGGCAGCCTTTTTGTACTTTCCCCTGACATTGCTACAAATACCAGACACACAAAATACCTTTAAAAAAAACACAACGAAAAAATCCCCTTCAACTGTAAATTGTGTGAAAAATGGCAAGCGATTTTCTCACACACTCGCAGATATACCTCCATGTGTTGATGGTTCAGACAATATGAAGATGTTTATAATATTATAATTAATTATGATTTTCTGAATACTGGCTGGCAAGATCCAAAGTCAAAGCAAAGTTCAATGCCAAAACGAAAACAAACACGGACCAAAACAAAAGCCCCCTCCGACCAAAGCACATTTTGAATGCAACTCCCAGCTGATAATGCTTAATTATATTCACATAAAGCGCAGCTCGACAACAAAAACCACAAGAACGAACAATGGCCACAGAAAAGATGAACAAAATTGTAAGACGAGACCCGAAAGGTAGTACTTCACACGGTCCAAGCACTTGGCCAAAAGGGCATGAAAATGCGAGCATTGAAACCAATAAACTCCATTGAAAGCTCTGTCGAACAAGTATAATGAATGTAATTTAGATCTTTAACTAAGATATTTTCTTGAACAGGCAATGTAAATCGCCAAGCTAATCCAGTGCCCTTGATATTTATCAAAAATAAAGTGTTCAGTCACTGTAAGCCCCAATTTGTATTCCAAATAAGTTTATATTTTACTGAAATGGCATTCGAAAACTGACATCACGAGGAAGTTCAGGCACGAGGCTGCTATATTATGCTAATTCGGTTTAGTTCCGATCTAGGTAAGTGCAAAAATTGCACTAGAAGTGCACTCTAAGGGCAAGCGTGCCTAAGATTAGCATCGAACAAGCTAATTATACTGCCGAAATAATTGCCACAATTAACCCAATAATGCCGAATGCCGAATCTATCGCAAAAACACCGCAAAAAAAAGCAGAACAACAAGAAACAAGAGTCGTTAAGTCACAAAAAAGCATGCACCGGCAATTAATTGTTTATGCCTAAAAAAATTCACAATACCCTTACCAAAAAGGTTTCTTTAGCTTTTTATATATATTTTACCTTTACAGAATCGAAGCCTTACCAAGAATCATTTTGTAAATTTAAAATATATATACCCTAGAGACCCTCAGGTATCCCCCTCAGTAACCAAATAACTTTCGCTCACAATTTAAATTTAAAAAATCGATCGTGCATGTACAGTAATTGGAATAATAACAAATAAATTTGTTATACAATTGTGTAAATATTTGCTTCTCATGAACCCAATTACAGAGATCCCTTCAAAAGCCAGATGAACCACAGCTCTTGAATATTAACGATTTCCAAGTGGAAGTTACCCATTTTTCGGGCACCACTTTCCACTCACAGTGGATATACCCAATACCCATACCCCTTGAGCGAGTGAGCACACAGATCTCCTTACTGGCGTATTGATGTCTCATCTGGCATTCATTTTTCAACACAAACGCACAAGCACACACTTTATTTGCCCAACAATTTCAGTTCGCCGCAAAACAATTATCTCTGGTCGCTGTTGTGAACTCATTTGCATATATATTTTTGCACAACAGTACAAACAAAATAAAAACCTTAAAAATATACTACACAAGTATATATAAACTAAAGTAGCTCAAAGCTGAGCTCGAGCTCATAAACAAATTGATTAGCGTCTTCAGCAATCATTGCCGCAATCATCGGCAAGAGCAGCCTGAACAAAGCCCACTCGCCACACAGATAAATGGTGATGGATCATGAATAAATCGCCGTCCATTTGATAGCCGTCTTGGAGCTGTTGCCAGGCAATGGCATCGGACCAAAACCTGGGCCACCTCCCTCTCAAAAGAGTTTCGCAGTTGTGTGCGATCTGAGAGGTGGACACACCTCTGTGGCTGGGGTGATCTCTTCACACCCGGCACGTGTGCGGATCTGCTTAGTTTCTGGTCAAATAAAAAATAAATCAATTAGCAGGCTGACTAATCTCTTGGCTCTCCTTATCCCTCCAGATGGTTATACCCATATTGATATTTATTGTTGTTTCAATGGTTAGGAGATACCTATTGTTTTTAGTTATTACAAAGGGTTTTGAGGGTTTTCTTTAGGAACTTTAATAATTAAAATCTTATAATATATATCCCTAATCTTGTTTCCAGATATATAACCCCAGCAGCAGCAGCATCTGCATCGGCAACCGCATCAACCTCAGCGGCAGGAGGCGTCGTCGCTGGCACAAATCTGGCAGTGTATCCCACAGCCACCGCCCAGGTGTATCGCTCCAACAACGGACTGGATGTCCTGGATTGCGCTGGACTGGAGCACCACACTGCTAGTGCGATGACCACATCCGGACACTCCGGCAGCTCAGGCTTCTCCCAGCGCCTCAGGGAACTGGCCGCCTCCGCGGGCCTGCTCTCCCTGAAGCCCCGCCAGCCCCTCAAGCCGGTGATCAAGACGCGCGGCTCGCCGGGTCCGGAGTTCCCCAAGAAGGTCACCTTCAGTGCCTTTGCCACCGTGCAGGTGGTGTGAAAGTGGGGGGCGAACAGTGGGTCTAGCATCTGTGGCATCTGTGCAGGCGCAGAGCAAGGTAAACTTAATTATATATTTTCCAAAAATACATTTCAATAACACTTGTCCCTATCTTCTCGTTGCAGTTTCATCTTGCACTTGTTAACCATTATTTGTTGTTGTTTTTATACTTGTTGCTGTTGTTAAATGTTTAGCCAAAACTATGGGAACCATAGGCGAAGGATGCGTCCAGAGAATCTTAAAAAAAAAAAAAAAACAGAAACAAAAATTGTTGTGCCATTTTTGTGGCTTGAAAATTTAAATGAAAACCATATAGTAAAAATTAATTACACCCCATAGCTGAAGCAAATACCTCAAATTTCTATCTATTCTCCTACTTTTCCTGCTTTTCATTAACTTTCCCTTGGTAGACTGACTTTTTCAACAACTTTCTTATAGTTCCTTTCGATTTCCCCTCCACTAAAACAGTATTTTCCATCTCTTGATCACTTTCCTCACAACCTCATTTAAAAAAAAACACTATTATTAATTTAAGACCATAAGCTTCAAAATTCTAAATATTTTCTATTCTGTAAATATGAATGAATTTTTGCTTGAAACAATTTAAACAGCAAATATAGTCATAAATATATGTATTCGACTTAAATATGTATCTATGTATTATGTAAGTCTGTTTTGTGTATATATGTGTACATATATATATATAAATCAAGATTTTGCATTGATTATTTAATAGGACGTGAAATACAACATTCAAAGCAGCACAAATTCTAAGCGAAAAAGCTGTAAATTGTATTTAAAGTAAAATAAAATATATTATTTAAGCCTAATATTATGCATGATGAATAAAATATGAATAAAACAAAGCCAAGCAAAAAGTGTTTTATTTTGATGAAATGTTTGGGAAATCGAATGAAGCTGCAACGGATCAGGGGACTAAATTTAAATGTATCATAACTAAGCCAAAAAAGGATAAATCTTAAATCGGAAAACAGTTGTGTACTAGTTTTTATTGGGTTAACAAAGCTGCTGATCAAGAATATATATGATTTATAGGGTCGGAAATGACTCATTGACAGACTATAAATTATAATACTCTTCAAGAAGACCGGAAATATTTACCCATATTTTTAACTTATAATTTTTTGGGAAAATTAAAACTTAAATTGATCATAACAAAGCCAAAAATGCGTTAAATTCAATTCGGAAAGCTTTTCTATGTAAGGTTTTTCTAGTTCAAAAAATGTGCAAACAAATTTTTAAATTTTAAAAAATTAAAATTTTAAGTCAATTTTTGAAAATTTTAACGATGTAACCCCTTATAAAATTTTCAAAAATTTGAAGAAAAAAAAACTTCCTGCAGACATGGCTAGAAAGACTCGCCTGTTGATGCTGATCAAGAATATATATGATTTATAGGGTCGGAAATGACTCCTTCACTACGTAACAAACTTATAACCCAAATTATAATACCCTGTAAGGGTATAAAAACACGTTATTTTTTAAATAAGCTCTTTTTACCGTACGCACCTTTTTCCTTCAGTCCGGCAACTCCATGAGCTCTAGCATGTTGTGTTGCCAAACTTGTTAACGTTTTAGTCACGTGGTGTTACCAGCTTTTGTGAAGGGTGAAATCCCCCAATTGGTGGTATTTTGGCACGTTTCGGTCACACTGAGTGGGATTTAAAAGGCCGTTCGGGCTGCGTCGGCGTCATTTTCAAAAAAAAAAGTGTCGAGAGTGCCAATAATTTATTGCACCGAGATTTCGTGACGTGGCCTTTCATCGGGAGTAACTCGTATCTCGTCCTCGAAAAGAGTGGATCGCAATCATGAAGTACTATCTGCTGCTGGGGCTTTTGCTTTTGGCAGGTAAGTTTTGCCACGCCGCAACCACCGCCCCGCCCCGCTCCACAATGCCGGTGTTTTAACCTAATTTAATTCATGTCTCGTTCTTTGCGTGCCGGCAGGTGTCAACCAAATTGCTGCTGCTGAAGATGAGGCCAGCACTGAGACCATTGATCTGGACCTGGGATCCTTCAAGCAGGGCTCTCGCACAGGTAAGTAACGCCCCCCGGCGAGTTGCGCTGATTTTGAGGTACACGTCAGCGTTCGGTACCCAATGGCTATTAACACGCCCCCTTATCTATGCTAATCCCACAGACGCCGAAGCTCTGAAGCGTGAGGAGGAGGCAATTCAACTCGATGGCCTGAACGTGGCGCAACTGAAGGAACTGCGCGAAAAGGTGGGTGTGCTCCCGATGGTTCACCAAGTACACGTATGACTTTGGATCTCTTTGTCTTCTGCAGGCCGAGAAGTTCACCTTCCAGACGGAGGTCAACCGAATGATGAAGCTGATCATTAACTCGCTGTACCGCAACAAGGAGATCTTCCTTCGCGAGTTGATCTCGAACGCCTCCGATGCCATCGACAAGATCCGCCTGCTGGCGCTTACCGATCCCAAGGCTCAGGAGACGAATCCCGAGCTGCACATCCGCATCAAGGCCGACAAGGAGAACAAGGCACTGCACATCATGGACTCTGGCGTTGGTATGACTCACCAAGATTTGATTAACAACCTGGGCACAATTGCCAAGTCGGGCACTGCCGATTTCCTGGCCAAGATGCAGGATCCCAGCAAGGCCGAGGGTTCGGATCTCAACGACATGATTGGTCAGTTCGGTGTGGGCTTCTACTCCGCCTTCCTGGTGGCCGATCGCGTGGTGGTGACCACCAAGCACAACGACGACAAGCAGTACATCTGGGAGTCGGACGCCAACAGCTTCAGCATCACCGAGGATCCCCGCGGTGACACCCTGAAGCGAGGATCCGTGATCTCGCTGTACCTGAAGGACGAGGCCCAGGACTTCCTCGAGGAGGAGACCGTACGCGAGCTGATCCGCAAGTATTCGCAGTTCATCAACTTCCCCATCCTGATGTGGTCCAGCAAAACCGTCGACGAGGAGGTGCCCATTGAGGAGGAAGCCAAGCCGGAGAAGACCGAGGACGATGTGGAGGACGAGGATGCCAAGGTCGAAGAGGCCGCCGATGACGACAAGCCCAAGACCAAGAAGGTGTCCAAGACCACCTGGGACTGGCTGCTGATCAACGACAGCAAGCCCATCTGGACTCGTAAGCCCGCCCAGGTGACCGAGGACGAGTACACCAGCTTCTACAAGAGCCTGACCAAAGACTCCAGCGAGCCCCTGACCCAGACGCACTTCATTGCCGAGGGCGAGGTTACCTTCAAGAGTTTGCTGTATGTGCCCAAGATTCAGCCCTCCGAGTCCTTCAACCGCTATGGCACCAACTCTGACAACATCAAGCTGTACGTGCGTCGCGTCTTCATCACCGACGAGTTCAATGACATGATGCCCAACTACCTGAGCTTCATTCGCGGCGTGGTCGACTCTGACGATCTGCCCCTGAACGTTTCCCGCGAGACCCTCCAGCAGCACAAGCTGATCAAGGTGATCAAGAAGAAGCTGGTGCGCAAGGTGCTCGATATGCTGAAGAAGATTGACAAGGAGGCCTATGAGAAGTTCTGGAAGGAGTTCTCCACCAAGTGAGTAATATCTGGTATATCATAGAATTTTTTTTTGAGTCTGAAGTTGTGATAGTAAATATGGGAATCTAGTATTCTGACCTTGGTTGATAAGCATTTTCAAAAGAATCAAAGCTCAATTCTTATGCTGATCAGTGGATCAGCTTTTCTGATTCATCTTTCTAGTTTTGAAGCTGATAAGATGTTTCTAAAGAACGTCGATTTCTAAAGAAATCAGATTTATGAGTTCTTATTTGAAAATCTCTTAATTCCTTGAAAATGAAATGAAATTAAGTGCGTCTTTTATGAGATTTATTTTCTTACGAAATCTTTTCAAAATGTCTTTAAACTGTAAACAACATAATGCAACTTAATCTTTAAATTTTAAATCTTTTTAACAGCATCAAATTGGGCGTGATGGAGGACCCCAGCAACCGATCACGTCTGGCCAAGCTGCTTCGTTTCCAGACCTCCAACGGCAAGGGAGTCACCTCGCTGGCCGAGTATGTGGAGCGCATGAAGTCGAAGCAGGAGCACATCTACTACATTGCCGGCTCCAACCGCGCTGAGGTCGAGAAATCGCCGTTTGTGGAGCGTCTGCTGAGCAAGGGCTACGAGGTTCTGTATTTGGTTGAGGCCGTCGATGAATACTGCATTTCTGCCCTGCCCGAGTTCGATGGCAAGAAGTTCCAGAACGTGGCCAAGGAGGGCTTCAAGCTGAACGAGTCCGAGAAGAGCAAGAAGAACTTTGAGGCTTTGCAGAGCAGCTTTGAGCCGCTCGTCAAGTGGCTGAACGATGTGGCCCTGAAGGATCTGATCGCCAAGGCCCAGGTTTCGGAGCGTCTTAGCAACTCCCCCTGTGCTCTGGTGGCTGGTGTCTTCGGCTGGACCGGTAACATGGAGCGCCTGGCCATGTCCAATGCCCACCAAAAGTCCGACGATCCTCAGCGTACCTACTACCTCAACCAGAAGAAGACACTTGAGATTAACCCCAGACATCCCCTAATGCGGGAGCTGCTGCGCCGCGTGGAGGCTGATGAGGCCGATGATACCGCCAAGGATATGGCCCTGATGATGTTCCGCACCGCCACTCTGCGTTCGGGATACATGCTCCAGGAGACGTCCCAGTTCGCCGACAGTATTGAGCAGATGATGCGCCAGACCCTGGGCGTGGACCAAAGCGAACAGGTCGAACTCGATGAAGAGGACGAGGAGGACGATGCCGAGGACAACAAGTCTGCGAGCGAGGAGAGCTCCAATGCCGACGATGAGGAGGAGGAGCAGCAGCACGACGAGCTGTAAGCAGGTGCAGCTCATTACAGCCCACATTACAGATTGTACATAAGGGGGTGTGGAAGTTAGACTGAGTTCAACGTTGAACCACCTGGCGGTCGTTTCATAATCATTACTCTCTAGATTCTAAGTAAAGCAATTTCGTAATCCTTCGCCGCCAGTCGTCCAGAGAGCACTCCATTACACAACACCAGAACACCACACACACACTCGGAACATTCGGCTTTCCTTTGTTTTTTTAAGGCAAATGCTTGCATGTATTTATATAAATGTAATGCGTAATACAGAACAGATTCCAAACAATGAATAAATGAATAAAGAAAAACACGAATTTACACAAGATCTTGGTGAACCCCGCTGGGGTATTTCAGTCGAATTTTGAAGAGTAATGACCCGACATCAGCCGTCCAGGTCGGAGCTCAATGGATCGTTGTTCATGGCCTTCAGATAGGAGTTCCACCTCAATTGGTCCTTTATCTGACGCACGGCCTCATCGTGGGACAGCTTGTACGTGTCCGTAAAGAGCAGCACTATCCAGAGGGGCAGCAGCCCATTGATAATCAGGGACGTGTGGTTCTAATGATGATCAGGAGTCAGGAATTCCATTAAGAACTTTGCTTACCCTCTACTTACGCTTTTGGTGCTGTAGCTTGCCGCCAGTTGCTTCATCATCTTGTTGCGTATGTCCGCGTTTAGGATGTCCATGACGTCCATGTGACTAACATTCACATAACTGTGTGTCTGCGCCTTGTTCTTCCGCTCCTTGAATAGCTTATCGAAGTCGCTTCTATAGCGCTCAAAAGTGGCCAGAACATCAGCTTCGCCCATATTTTCCAAGAGCCTGAGACAATTGAATGAACGCGGCCGGTTGAAGGCATTTTCGTGAGACTTTATTAACGTTTTCTACAATTGAAACCACTTACAGTATCTGAACTTCAGGTGGCTTGGATATGGCCAGCATGCTGTCCAGCCGCTGCAGTGCATCTAAGCGGGCGCCATCAATCTGCTCCACCTTCAGGGCCTCGGCTGGTGTTGGTGTCAGAGACTTTTCCTTAGGCGCCTTGGCTGATGATGAAGTGGCAGGCTTCTCCTTCGGTTTCCTGACTGGGGATGGCTTCTTCTTGGTTTTCCCATCCCCCGAAGTGGGTTTCTTCTGCTGTGTGCTGCTGAAAAGTTAAACAAATTAAGAGATAATGACTAGCTTATACAGCTAATTTTCTATGGAGTACCTCAAAACAAAATTGTTAAAGCGACTTGGACAAATTGGAGATCGGCCGGAGCGCCGAGCAGTCTTAGACTCGACAGAGCTGGCTGCGGAATTTCTGCAAATACAGGAATACGACTTAATTATTTATAAATTTTTCAACATAAAACTGTAACTTACCTTTCTGATGTGCTTATTGAGCGCCTTTTTCTCTGCCTTGAACTGCTGCCATTTTGGCTGTGTGAACCCTGTGAAGTGGATCGGCGTCCACGTTTGATCTTGGTCAAAGGTGGGCAGTAATTATCATCATCGTCTTCATCGTCGGCATCAATGTGTTTCGGTTGTTTAGATTGTGAAGGCTTTTCTGGAAGACTAAGGACCCAAATTTCTACTTAATAATAATTTTTCTTTTGTAAATGACTCTCTCCTACCCAGCTTTTGGCTTAACTCCAGCGCCCGCTGGCTTGCTTCTGCTGCTGGAGCTATTTTTCGTGGTGCCATTGATCTCTGCCTCCGTGGCAACTTTACGTTTCGACGTGTGCATGCCCACAATTGCAGTGTCCTCGACCGTCATGTACTGTAGCTGCATGTCTAGGCTGAGGTCCTCTGGCCCCAGCTCGGCTCCGGCCAAAAGGCTTCTCGACGCAGGATGCGGTTTCTCGGTAGCCTCGTAACGCACACTTATGTGATCGATCAGCAGCTCTCCCCGCAGCTTCTTGGCGTCCTGCCACTGGGCCAGATTCTCAAAGAGGCGCCACAAGGCGGTCTCGATCCTGGCCCAGCGGAAAGCGGTCATCCAGTGGTAGTCATTCGTGGCTTCCCGCTCAAAAAGGGTCACAGGTGTCGGCAGCACTTTGACGCTGCAGGCGACGCGGTGTCCCTTGTACTGAAATGGTAGTGTGTTGGGTAACAGCCTGCGATTGCTTCAAATTACCTACAGTATAAATTTGCGACAATAATTGGCAATCTCCAGTGGCAGAAAAAGACATTTTAACAAAATTGCTTAAAACAAAAAACAAGCTGCAAATAGTGTTGCCAGATGACAACTTTTACCATTAAAACAAAAATCACAAATCTCCTAAAAAATCCAGTTTTCTAAAGAGCGCGAAAAGAATTCTAATTTAAACGTTGTATTACTTTTTAATACATATTTGTGTATTTAAATTATAGTAGATAAGATTCTTGATCAACAAAGTACAATCTTATTGCAAAAAAAATTATTTTCCCTTATTGAGGTAGGCAGAGCTGTGTACAGCTGCATTTTGACAGCTGTTTTTGGTTGTTGAAGTGCTTGGTAATTTTCACTTAAATCACTGATTTGGGCCCCAATTGCTTTCCCATTCGTCTTATTCACTGGATTGGCTTAATCGCAATTAATATCCTTTTCCAAACATCAAACTTTAAGAAGCCAAAGTTAGTATACCCTTGCAATTTGCAAGTGAATCATGAAAATCGATCAAAACTGAAGCAAAAGTGCTTTAATTTCAATTCGTAAAGCAAATCTTTGTTGGTTTTTATTAGATTAACATTCAAATTTACATTTTTTATTAACATTTGACAATTTTAATGACAATTTTTTAATAAATTTAGAGTTTAAAATGACCCAAAACAGCAATAATTATAATTACAGTTAACAAACAGAATTTAATTTTGAAAATTTATTCAATTGTTGAAATTGAAAGCCCCTTTATACGCTTTATCTAACAGCTTTATAATTCTTTATAATTATTAACATTACATAGATATTTGTTTAATGTTTACATTTCTGTAAATATATTTAAAACTGATTAAAATAAGGGGCGTTTCTAGGAATTCCGATAAGCAAAGCTTGCAAAAATTACATTTGATGCGAGAACTCATAAAAACGGAAATTTTTGACTACTTTTTTCTTAAAGACTGATAAATCATGACTATTATTTAACCTCCTTGGTATTTAATTCAAATTAATTTATAAAATCTCTCCCTTTGGAGTATTAGCAATCCAGTCAGAAAGTGAATGAATGGCACCGCGTAATCAATGAATGTGTTTTAGTTAAAAAACTTACAAATCCTTATCAACGCCAGCGCGTGGCTTAGGTCAAGTATTGAAGAGCGGAGAGTCAGAGCCCATTATTCGCCAATCCGCAATCTCTGGGAGCTCGGATCGTAGAGACTGCGTCGTCTGGGGGCTCCGGAGCCTGTTCAGTTCTCAATCGCGGCCTGAACAAAACAGTCGAGCTTTAAGTCTAGCGCATGTAGCCCTTAGTGATTACTACTTAAATATACATATATACTTGGTGTGTGCCTGTTCCGATTAGTTTATGAATCGGGGCAATATGTTTTTAATCTCGAATCCGTGGCGTTTTATTTACGCTCTGATCTGCGTATTTTTGTTGACGTGCGAAGCGAGAAGTGTAAGGGATTCCCAGGATGAAGCGGATAGTGAGAATGCGATTCCAGATGCCACGTCGGAGTTCCTGCGAGTATACGGGGAAAAAATGAAGTCCTACATGAACTTCAGCGTGGCTCCTTGCGACGATTTCTATGAGTACGCCTGCGGGAACTGGAAAAACGTGCGTCCGGAGCACCAATCCCCCCACAAGCGGAGTAATCTCCTGGACATCGTCTACACGCTAAATAACGTGACGGAGGAGCTTCTCACCCGGACGGAGTTGGCAGAGAGGCTCAACGTGTCCGCCGAGTTACTGGTTGTACAACGATTCTATAACGATTGTCTCGCGGCCGTTGTCTATCCACTGCCAGCTGCGGATCCCGCTTATCTGGAGCTTATCAGGTCGATTGGTGGTTTTCCCGCCGTAGACGGCCACGCGTGGGACGCCGCCAACTTCAGCTGGTTCAACATGAGCTCGCATCTCACCAACTACGGGGCTCATGGATTGATTGACGAGCACATCCTGCCGCAATACCCCTTTGAGCCTTACTTTAAGCTGCCGGAGTTGGGTTTCGACCACATCGTCAAGACGGAAAACGTTGCCAATGCCAGCTCCCGAGCTTACACGCTGAATGAGCAGCGCATGCGCGGCTACCTGGAATCCTACAAGCTTCCGGAGGACAATATCACTGCCGTCATCGCCGGCGTATTTGACTTTTGGCGTGAGGCCCTCATTATTGCGGACAGATTTGACAGTGATCCCGATAAGTGTGAGCAGGTTGCTAACGATGAGGAAATAACTGCTCAATTTCCTCAATGGAGAAGCTACTATGAGATCGCCTGGAACGGGCTGGACTTTTATAACGGAAGCTATGTCAGTGGATTTTGCGACTACTACTATGTGGAGCTGGACAAGCTGTGTGCCAAGCACCAGGAGGCGGTGGCCAACTATCTGGCCATGCAGCTGCTGTATCGCATGGACGCCAAACTGAAGGGAGCCAAGGACCAAAAGGATCATTGCCTGCTAACTGTTCAGTTCTCAATGAATCATCTCTTCAACGAGCTATACATGGCGGTGAGTTTTTAATTATTATTTTATTTTTACTCTAATCCGATTCTCTTTCCTTACAGGAGCACTTCAGCGAAGACACCCGCTTCGAGATTTCCAGCATGGTAAAGGAGTTACGGAAGAGTCTGCGCCAAACCCTGGAGAATGCCGAGTGGTTGGACACGGAAACGCGTCAGGCGGCTCTGGATAAGGAGTCCTCCATGATGCCTGTATTCGGTAGCTACAAAAACTATAACCTCACAGAAAACCTGATCCGGCAGGTAGCAAGTCTAGTGGTAGACGAGGATAGCTACGCCAAGAGCATGATCAACCTGCGGGAGTTGACGACCCGTCAGCGCCGCTACAATGGTCTGCATTCCGAGAAGATGCCCAACGACACAAAGCCTCTGGAACTAATGCTGGGGATGCAGGTGAATGCCTTCTATTACAACCTGGATAATTCCATCTATGTGATGGCCGGAATCCTGAATCCACCTGCCTACCACCGCTCCTGGCCGAACTCCTTGAAGTTTGGTACCCTGGGCTATCTGGTGGGTCACGAGCTAACGCACGGCTTCGATACAATAGGATCCACATTCGATGGGCATGGCGAGTACCGAAAGTGGTGGTCCAAGAAGTCGGATGCTGTGTTTGCGGAGCGGGCCAAGTGCTATGTGGACCACTACAGCAATTACCTGATACCGGAAATCAATCGCAAAGTCAACGGCAATGAGACCAAGGATGAGAACATTGCGGACAGTGGCGGCCTACGGGAGTCACTAGCCGCCTATCGGAGCCACATGAAACGCCTCCAGCTAACGAATCAAGAGGACAATGAAACGATTGCGCCACGCAGCGAGCAGATGCCCGGTTTGGATCTCTCTCCGGAGCAGCTCTTTTTCCTCGGATTCGCGCAGCTCTGGTGCTCCGCCTACGAGGTGGAGCATTACTGGGAGGAGCTCACGAATGAGCACACAATCGATAAGTACCGAGTGCTAGGTGCCGTATCCAATATCGAAGCCTTTGCCGAGGTCTACAATTGTCCCCTCGGAAGTCCAATGCATCCAAAGCCAGACACCTGTCGGATTTGGTAGTGAATTCTGGATGGGATAGCTAACTTAAGCAAAAATAATCAATAAAGAAATAAAAAATGGCCATTAACAATTTGAATATATTTCTAATCATAAAATTAAACCATTCCTCAGAAGGAGCACCTGTTCAGTCCTAGTGGGCCACATGCTCCGAGGATTTAAAGGCGTTGGCGCCGCGGTAATTCTCCACCAGCAATGACTTGTAGCGCCGCAGATGCACACTGAGTCCCTCCTCGCGTTCGCTGGCGGAGAGGATTGAGACGCGGGCCACCACAAGGTGGGAGGGATTCGCCTGACTGAAACCTCTTATCACATCGATCTCATCGCCGATTTCAAGCTGGCAGAAAAGAGCTACATATTAGCGAGCGTTCCAACTGGTCACTGAACTGCCTTACCTGGGCACTCTTCTTTTGTAGCTTTTTCCCGTTGACGCGGATCTTGCTCTCGTAGAAATTCAGCTCCACCTTGCTGGAAGGAGATTTGTAAAAAAGTTGGTCATTGATTTCCATCGTGTTCTGGGGGATATGCTTACTTTCTGGCCATTCCAAGACCCGCTTTCAGTAGCAGATCCGCGCGCAGCGAGTTCACCTTGGTCTTGACCACCTTTGAGTCCCGCTCGTCCTTGAAATCCTCATCGTCCTCATCATCGCTGTCCAAATCATCCGCCGCTCGCGAAGATTTCTTATCATATTTCCACGCTGGGCCGCTGGTATGGAGCGGCGCCTGCAGTCTGGCCGAGATTGCCGTGGATTCGGTTGCTGGTTTAAGCAGACTGCTGGCCGGGAGTGGTGTTTTTAGGCATCTTCCTAGTCTGGATATTTGCCGCAAACTTCGGAGCATCTTAAAAATTACGATAACACAGTGATAACATAACCTACAAACTACAGCTGATGGGTGGCCGCGTTGCCAACTATTGCGAGGAATTGCTTGGCGGCTGCTTTTGCTTTTTGTTTCGTTTCTTTTTGGGCTTCTTGTCGGGATTCGGCCGTATCTGGTGGACAGTAAGTGGGCGATAGGTATGCAGGTTGCTTGGCAAAAAGTCGTCCTCATCAACGACCGCTTCTGTGTCCACTTCCATGGGCTCTACGCTTGGGGATTTCTCCCTTTTCTCGGGTTTTTGGTCATCTTTGGACTGCTCACCTTTGGCTTTCATGGCCAAATGGCTGAGGGCGGCACCTAGTTGCTGGGTCTCCACCTGGACATCCACTTGGTCCAGCTTTAAAGACGCCTTGTCAGAAGAGCAGGAAATAAAGTCGTCGCCCCAATCCTTTTTTTCCGGTGCAGCAGGAATTGCAGGCTTCAATTCCTCCGAAGATTTCTGGGGAATCGTGGCCTTTTCCTTGCGCTTCCGATGAGATTTGGTGACAATGGGAGTTACAGTTTTCGGTGACGGAGCCGAACGTTTCCGCGCATTAACCCACCGCTCCAAGTCCTCGCTGATGCCTTTCAAGTCCAAAGGTAAAGCTAAACTTATGGACCTTACTCCAAAGATCTCTTGGGTTAGCTCCTCCAGCTTGGGCTGTGCATATATGGGCGCCGTGGGAACCTTCACGGATGCACTGGTGGCTATCAGGCGGATGAGATGCGCCGGGCGGAGACTCAAGGAAATAAGCAAGCAGGAGAAGCGCTGGGAGTTGATGGCTCGCAGGGAGCTCTCCAGACCAAGGTGTATGCCGTGACGAGTGACAAAGGATTTGTCTGTCTCCTCGCTGCTTTTCTTTGCCTTTTCTAGGATCTGGCGGAACTCCAGCACCTCGTCGTCCGTCAAAACCGGGCTGTAAATGGATGTTTTTTTTACCTGTTGATGAAGTTGTATCTTGGGCTGCCTCACCTGTGTTGCTTGTACGGGTTGGCCAGGACTGTGCGCAATTTCGGCAGCACTTTCTTCTTGCCCTTGGCCTCCCTTTCTTTTATGCTAGACAAACTCATTGTTGTTTTATTTATTAATTCTTATTAAATTGCAAAAAAATGTGTTTTGGTTTCGGGCCAGTGTGACCATAGCACCATAGTTAAAATTAAACTGTTATAAAACTTTTATAAATCCAACAAGGCAATAAAAAAGCGCATTTATTCAAATCTAAATTAATTTTTATTCTTATTTATTATAAATTAAAATGCTAGTATTCGGGCAATTCGGGTTCTGTATCAGAAGTGTATCTATATTTGATCTTCTTCGGCCTGATGGCATCTTCGACTATATTGGCACGTCTTGTCGTTGTTGTTGGTTTGGTGGACTCAGTTGTGGTTTCTTCTTGGGTTTCAGTTGTAAAGTTAAGTCCTGGCGGTGTGGTTTCAGTTGTAAAATCAGTTGCTTCGGTGCTATCAATAGCTGTATCCAAGTATGATGTTGTAGTTTCGATTCCAGGAGTCGTGGAAATGATATCCAGCAAGGATGTGGTGGTTTCCGGAAATAGGGATCCTGACGTTGTTGATTCAAAAGTTGTCGTCTCAATTATTGATTCTGTTGTGATATCTGATGGTTGTGTGGTGGAAAGCGAAGGCCACACAGTTGAAGGAGTGGGCTCCGTGCTGGTGAAGTAAATTGTCGTAGATTCCTCTTCGGTTGATGTTGATATTTCCGGGGTTTCTGTGGTGCTTAGATCTACTTCCGTTGTGGTTTCCGGCGGTTCTGCGATTACCTGATCCACCAAAGATTCTAGAGTTGTACTTTCCGTTTCATAGACGCTGCTTGCTGTTGTGGTTTGAATTAAAGTGCTTGTTTCTGGAGACTCTGTAGTTATTTCTGAAGCTTCAGTGGTTGGCCAGCTTGCTGTTGAAGATTCATAACCACTAGTCGTGGTTTCCATAAATTCCGTATTTCCAGAGATTGTTGTAGAGTCTGGCAAAAGCGGGGGCTCAGTAGAGTAATTAATTGTTTCATCCGGAATGTCTGTTGTTTCCCAAAGATCTCCGCCGAAGGAGTTGGTTATGTTAACTACTCGCGGCTTGTATGGCTCGTAGTTTTTGAACTTATACGGCTTGTGGTTCCTTATATACTCCTTTGCAATGCTAATCCAATCGTCGCGATCAAGAATTTGGTTTAAATTTCGATCCGAGACCACAAAATGTGCCATCAGAAGGAGCAAATATAACTTTGCCATTGTGTTACTGACGCCGTCAGTTGAAATTAGCAACTAATTACTTTTCCCTGCAGCGGTGTCATTTAAACCTAAATTGTCGCCTACCTAGGATTTTCGCAAGCGCTACCTGCTCTTGCTGGAAAACGTTAACTACCCTTAATTAGGTAACTGGGAATTTCAGGTTCAATTTTGCCGCCAATGTCTGCCTTTACCTTTCGCAAAGTCTGGCAGCACCAAAGCAGTTTGTGATCGATTTAAGTGTGACCAGCTGAACCGTAGGGATATATCAATGTATCGATTGTCGATTGTTTTGCAGATCCGCGTTTTTGTGTAAAATTTGTAAAAACAATTTAATTGTTGATTTTTCTGAATATATAGAAGAATAAACCGCTTCTAGACGAGTTATTAACTTTCGGTGAGTAATTGCAAGTTTGAAGAATGTGTCCGCAGGTCTTAGTTTGGCCAAATTAACACATTTCTGAAACGCCGGTTGTGCAAACCTTGTTTTCTCCTACTTTTCAGAAAGTACTATGGATTCTGATTTATACGACGAATTTGGAAACTACATTGGTCCAGACCTTGACAGCGATGAGGACGACGACCAGAGCCTTTACGGGCAACCGGATGTGCAGGATGATCCAGAGGACGCTATGGACGAGGACGAGGCTGAGCCGCAGGAGGATGAGGACAAGGAAGTGACCGCAGTGGTGCTGCACGAGGATAAACGCTATTATCCATCCGCCGTAGAGGTATACGGGCCGGATGTGGAGACCATTGTGCAGGAAGAGGACGCTCAGCCGCTGGACAAGCCGCTCATCGAGCCGGTGAAGAAGCTGAAGTTCCAGATCAAGGAGCAGGACATGCAGGAGACCACCTATGACATGGAGTTCATGGCAGACTTGATGGACACACCGCCGCTCATCCGCAACGTGGCTCTAGTAGGCCACCTGCATCACGGCAAGACCACGTTCGTTGACTGCCTCATGCGGCAGACTCATCCGCAGTTCGAGAACATGGAGGAAAGGCAGCTGCGCTACACGGACACCCTGTTCACCGAGCAGGAGCGCGGCTGCAGCATCAAGGCCACGCCGGTGACCCTAGTGCTGCAGGATGTCAAGCAAAAGAGCTACTTGCTCAACATCTTTGACACACCGGGGCATGTCAACTTCTCGGACGAGGCCACCGCCGCCATGCGTATGTGCGATGGTGTGGTTCTGTTTATCGATGCTGCCGAGGGCGTTATGCTGAACACAGAGCGCCTGCTCAAGCATGCGGTGCAGGAACGCCAGGCCATCACAGTTTGCATTAACAAGGTGGGTTTTAAGGAGACTAATTAATTAATTTCTTAATTCTTAACGTTTTATTGACCTTTTCAGATTGATCGTCTGATCTTGGAGCTAAAACTGCCACCCCAGGACGCCTATTTTAAGCTGAAACACATTGTGGAGGAGGTCAATGGGCTGTTAAGGTAAGTTTTTCCTTACTTTCTTTTGTAATACAATCCGATTTCACTTTCAACTTATCCTTATGCCTTCCCTACAGCACCTATGGCGCTGCAGATGACAATTTGCTGGTTTCTCCCATTCTGGGAAACGTTTGCTTTGCCAGTTCCTTGTATGGCTTCTGTTTTACCCTGAAATCCTTTGCCAAGCTCTATTCGGACACCTACGAGGGTGTCAGCTATCTGGACTTTGCCAAGCGTTTGTGGGGCGACATGTACTTTAACAGCAAAACGTAAGTGTAATCCATAGTTTTCTAATAAAATTACTTATAATTTGTCTACTGACAGGCGCAAGTTCTCAAAGAAACAACCCCATAACTCGGCGCAACGCAGCTTTGTCGAGTTTATCCTGGAGCCCATGTACAAGCTGATTGCCCAGGTGGTGGGCGATGTGGACACCACTTTATCGGACACACTGGCTGAGCTGAATGTTCGTGTGTCAAAAGATGAGATGAAATCCAATATAAGGCCTTTGCTGCGTCTTGTGTGCAGTCGTTTTATGGGCGATTGCAGTGGCTTTGTGGACATGTGCGTCGAGCACATCAAGTCGCCATTGGAGAACGCCAAGCGGAAGGTGGATCATATATACACCGGACCCAAGGAGGGTGACATCTACCGGGATATGATCTCGTGCAATCAGTACGGCACCCTGATGGTTCACAGCTCCAAGATGTATCCCAACGATGACTGCACCTTCTTCCAGGTGCTGGCCAGGGTTGTCTCTGGTACTCTGCATGCCGGTCAGGAGGTGCGTGTCTTGGGAGAGAACTACACGTTGCAGGACGAAGAGGACTCCCGCATACTTCAAGTGGGTCGCTTGTGGGTCTTCGAATCCCGCTATAAAGTGGAACTGAACCGAGTTCCTGCCGGCAATTGGGTTCTCATTGAAGGCATCGATCAGTGTATCGTGAAAACCTCAACGATTGTGGATATTAATGTCCCGGAGGATCTGTATATTTTCCGGCCACTGAAGTTCAACACCCAGAGCATTATCAAGATTGCCGTAGAGCCGGTGAATCCCTCCGAGCTGCCCAAGATGCTGGACGGTCTGCGTAAGGTAAACAAATCCTACCCACTGCTTTCCACGCGTGTTGAGGAGTCGGGTGAGCACGTGATCCTGGGAACCGGCGAGCTGTACTTGGACTGTGTAATGCACGACCTACGAAAAATGTACTCGGAGATCGACATCAAAGTGGCGGATCCAGTGGTGGCCTTCTGCGAAACAGTCGTGGAAACGAGCTCCCTGAAATGTTTCGCGGAAACGCCGAACAAAAAGAACAAAATAACCATGATTTCGGAGCCGCTGGAGAAGGGTCTGGCCGAGGACATTGAAAACGGAACTGTCTGCATAAATTGGAACAAGAAACGCATCGGCGAGTTCTTCCAGGTCAACTACGATTGGGATCTGCTGGCAGCGCGTTCCATCTGGGCCTTCGGGCCCGACTCAACGGGACCCAACATTCTCGTTGATGATACGCTGCCATCGGAGGTGGACAAGAACCTGCTGACGGCGGTGAAGGATTCCATTGTGCAGGGCTTCCAGTGGGGAACGAGGGAGGGTCCACTGTGCGAGGAGCCCATCCGGAATGTCAAGTTCAAGATTCTCGACGGCGTCATTGCCAATGAGGCCCTGCATCGCGGTGGTGGTCAGATAATTCCCACTGCCCGCCGTGTAGCTTACTCCGCATTCCTGATGGCAACGCCGCGTCTGATGGAGCCCTATCTGTTTGTGGAGGTGCAGGCGCCCGCAGACTGCGTGTCCGCTGTTTACACCGTGCTGGCCAGGCGCAGGTAAGTTCTACCCTTTGTAAAACCCTGTTCACTGTTGCTAAATTTTATTTTACTCCATTTGCAGAGGTCATGTCACGCAGGATGCCCCCGTTTCAGGTTCACCCATTTACACGATCAAAGCATTTATTCCCGCCATCGATTCGTTCGGTTTCGAGACTGACCTGCGCACGCATACCCAGGGCCAGGCCTTCTGCCTATCGGTGTTCCACCACTGGCAAATTGTGCCCGGCGATCCGCTGGACAAGAGCATTATCATCCGGCCGTTGGAGCCCCAGCAGGCCTCCCATTTGGCGCGCGAGTTTATGATCAAGACGCGCCGCAGGAAGGGTCTCTCCGAGGATGTCTCCATCAACAAGTTCTTTGACGATCCCATGTTGCTGGAATTGGCCCGCCAGGACGTGCTGGTCAACTACCCCCTGTAGACGCCAATTATTTAATAAAAACCAATAAACTTTTAGACGGATTTCGGGATATTACGAAACTTTAAGGTCGGTCGTCATTTACTCTCTATATTTACTAATTATTTATTTAAAGCCCGGCTGGGGCCAAAAATAATTTACAAAATAGTATACAGAAAACAGCTACGGTTGTGTTAGGCTTCAGGTCCTTACTCGAGGTTGCCGTTCTGCAGGACCTCCGACTCGTAGCCGTCGTGCTCGCCCTGCTCCTCATCAAACTCCACTTCGTCGTCGGCCGTTGCCTCCTAAAAAATAAAAGGAAAAGTAATTAGATTAGACAGTCTAGTGATTGGTGAAGCTGTTGACGCACCTGGTACTGCTGGTACTCGGATATCAGATCGTTCATGTTGCTCTCGGCCTCTGTGAACTCCATCTCGTCCATGCCCTCGCCGGTGTACCAGTGGAGGAAGGCCTTGCGCCGGAACATGGCGGTGAACTGCTCGGAGATGCGCTTGAAGATCTCCTGGATAGCAGTTGAATTGCCAATGAATGTGGCGGACATCTTAAGGCCTCTGGGCGGGATGTCGCAGACGGCCACCTTCACGTTGTTGGGTATCCACTCGACAAAGTAGCTGCTGTTCTTGCTCTGCACGTTGAGCATCTGGGTGTCCACCTCCTTCATGGACATGGGACCTGTTAATTATTGAGTGAGCGTGAAAAAAAATGCCTTTGGGCGCGGCGGAAACTTCCTGCGCATTTATGTACATCAAAAGCCAAGTTCGCTTTGATGCGAATCCCAAAATCCCTGAATATGAAATACTAAACGGCTTCTAAGTCCTGGCAGCGCACCTTGCCACCTGGGCTGCGTTCCCGTTCCCGTTCCCGGAGAGGGAAATGGGATGCGGACACAAACAGTCCCAGGAGGTAACTAAAAAAGTTGTTTAAATTCCTTTGCTGGCATTTTTTTTCTCCTTCGTTTCCAGCACATTTTTGTGATTAATTATTTTGCAAGTATTTCTGGCAGTCAGTCGGAGACGGATCCTGCGAGAGGGAGGCTGGGGAGCTGTTTGGAGCGGAGCAGTGCAGCCCAAGTCACGTTCGGCATGATTAGTTAAGCCAGGGGCCGTGTCAGGCGGCGGTCGCAATTCCCCAATGGATCTTGAAAGTAAATTTCTAATTACGCGCGTTTTGCGAGTCATCAGTCAAAAGCAAGGGCACGGCTAACGGCAGGAGGAGGCGTCACATAAGGAATAGCAAATGAAATATTATGCGGCATACTTTTGGGCGCCGCATCGCAGTTTATTAATTTAAAAATTAGCGCGAAAAAATGCCAGCAACCTTTTGGAAAGTGGAGCGAAGGACTCGAACTTCCCTGCAGCGGGTGCGAGGGGAGCTAACAAATTTGCGCTACGTGTGCGTTGACGGATTGCAGCCTTTTTAGCCGCCAGCCAGCCGGCATTAATCATTTTTAGTGGCGGCCATAAGTAGGCCCAGTGGCTCGGCTTTGGCTAATAAAATTGTCGCCAAAGCCAAGCCCCCGGAGAGTCCAAGGTGTTGAACAGGGGCGTAGCTAGGAAATGGTCAAGGTTGGGCGCTCCAGATACAGCAGAAGTAGCTACCTCAGTTTAAAAAATACTTTAACTGTCTTAAATCCTTTAAAATGATGTCCAGAAGTATGCCAAATAATTAAAGTCCTTAATTTCGCTTAGTATAAAATGTCCTTAACATAACATTATTGAAACGTTTTTCTTCCATCCTTATTCCTTCTTTTTTTTTAGACCCCACGGCTGATAATATTCTAAAAAGGTTTAAGGAATTCTCCAATTAATTTTTAGAAAACTCCAAGTTAAAAACCACCCCCTTGGCTACGCTCCTGAAAAAGTAGCTACGTGCCTCCGGTCCCGGAAAAACAGCGGACAGGTGCGCCGCCGGGTGCCCGTGACAAAGTGACAAAGTTGGCGCGGATAAGCCGGTGCGGGGCTCCTGAATAAATGAGCGGATAGATGAATGGATTCCTGTGTTCTGGCAACGCGTGGGGATGTGTTTAGGGTTTGTTGTTAAAAAACTATTTTTCTTTTCCCACCCTTGGGGCAAACATTTCGCCTCGTCACTCACCCCGGAAGATGCAGGCCACCGTGAGGTAGCGTCCGTGCCGGGGATCGCAGGCGGTCATCATGTTCTTGGCGTCGAACATCTGCTGGGTCAGCTCGGCCACGGTCAGAGCACGGTACTGCTGAGATCCCTTGGCTGTCAGAGGAGCGAAACCGGGCATGAAGAAGTGCAGGCGCGGGAAGGGAACCATGTTCACTGCCAGCTTGCGCAGATCGGCGTTCAGCTGGCCGGGGAACCGCAGGCAAGTGGTCACGCCGGACATTGTGACCTGGTCGGGAGGGGGTATGCAATAAGATATATTATTATTAAAACCAAAACTAAAAAAATTAATAATATATATATTAGAAAAAGTCCTGTTTTGGTTGGAATTAACTTTATCCTGACAGTTTTCATCCTTCAAGTCAGTATCCACACATATATTTGTCTACTTACGGACACCAGGTGATTGAGATCCTCGTAGGTGGGCGAGCAGAGGCGCAGGCTCTGGTAGCAGATGTCATATAATGCCTCGTTGTCGATGCAGAATGTCTCATCGGTGTCCACAATGAGTTGATGTACCGACAACGTGGCGTTGTATGGCTCCACCACCACCTCGGACACCTGCCCGTTTCCGGGAGTTTGAATGCCAGGAAAGTGGATGGATTTGGGTGGAAGTGGGGAGAGGGACAAACAAAGGACGCATTAGATGGATTGACTAGATGGTACTTACGGAAACCAGATGGTTAAGATCGCCATAGGTGGGCGACGATAGCTTCAGCGTGCGGAAGCAGATGTCATAAAGAGCCTCGTTGTCAATGCAGAAGGTCTCGTCGGTGTTCTCCACCAATTGGTGGATGGAGAGCGTGGCATTGTACGGCTCCACAACGGTGTCGGACACCTGGACGCATATATGTATGCCACAATACGGTACGAATGAGAGAGCGACATGCACGAGAAGGAGCAGAGTTCGTTAATTAGCAATGCTATTAGCACAGTCAAAGGAGTGCAAGTTTTAAATTAAAGATGAATGAGATGAATGGGATTAGGTACTACATACAGAAATGTTGAGAAATATTTAGTTTAGTTTAAGTTTTGGTTGTTTAAGCCTAGATTCAAGTCTCTATACTTCTACAGGCCTACAAGCAACTGCCTCACTCACTGTCCACTTTTTTTTTTTTGGGGGCCATATGAAAGTACAATGGATGTTGGGGGCATGGACATGAAAAATGCATTCTGCCAACAGGATGCAATTCGAATGCAGTGCTAACTGAATAGCAGACCCTATTAATACGGTGTTTGCAGTGGTTCTTGCTGCAGTTGCTAATGCTATTTTGAGCCCGGAGCGGCACTCAGGCGGAGAGTTGTTGCATAAATGCAGTTGCATGTTGCACAAACATCTGGGTGCGTTCTATACCCCAGTATCCGTACACCTATACCCAGGCATGGGGTGTGTGGTGTGTGTTTCGAGTGCTGCAAATTGAAAATTATGTATAATCTTTGGCTTGCCCTCTATATTTGTGCAACCAAGATGCATTGCTCGTCGGTTGTCGGAGGCAGGTGAGGATTGGGGATGAGGAATGCGAGAGCTGGAGTATGGAGAGTGGAGGCTGGGGTAAACAAAGGGGTGGGGGCGTGGCTGGTTAAGCATGCGACAAACTTCACTCGAGCTTCGGTTTGCCGTATGCCAAGTGTGTGCACATAAATTGTGGCAATTATTTAATGGCCATAGCCCTAGAGCGATAACGTGCAGTCCCACGCACACACTTTTAGTGCAACTTTTGTACTTGGAAAAATATTTAAATAAATAAAATAAGATTCAAATTCAAGAGCTATATTATAGCGTATAAAAATTATAGATTCCAAGCCTTGTTTTCCATTTATCGCTCTACCAAAATATCATTTTCTTTTGCAATTTTTAAATCAATAAAAATAAAAATGTATTATTTATTTCTCCCTGTGCACGCACTCACACCCTAGGCACACAGGCACACCTATGTATGTCTGGCTAGGCGGTACATGCAGTTAATACTAACGAGTTATGCTCGGGCATATGCATTTTGCATTTTGTATTTGGTATTTGTTGCTGCTGGCTCCCTATTTGAACACCGCCCGGACGTAATATTTGCCAGCTCTGTGTTTGTGTGTGTGTCTGAATCCTGAATCTGGGGGATTTACGAGCATGCATTTTGATATCATTGCCGTGTCCAACAGGCAGGTGCAAATCTCGGAGCCTCCCTGGCAAACGAACTGGAACTGGACAAGTGATTCATGTTGCCTCGAAACGAGGGGCGAAGGAGGTTTGGGCAGTGAGTGATGCCCGTTAATTAATGGACGTAATTAAAAACTTTAATCAATCGCAAAAATATCTGGGAAATGCTGTTTTTTATGCCAGGATCCCTAATTATTCTCGGTGAATGCGCGCGCTGCATTTGCATAAATGACGCTTATCAAAGCGCGGCTGCGACAAAGGCTTTACACGGCTCCGATCTGATGGGCATGAAAAACTATTAAATTATATATACGCGCATATTAAAACCGCTATAACGTGACAGGCATGTGTCAGGCCAGGCCGCAATAAAATGACCGCCGAAGCCAAAACATTGCGGTGAGCCAAGCAAACCCAACACGGCCCATAAATAACGGCCCCAAAAAGCAGCAGGATAAATGTGTGTGAGGGGGGGAGGCAGAATATATTGGGGCATTTAAAGTTAAACCCGGCCAGGGGTCAGGCACTGGACGGGGCTTTGGACTGGTTCAATAGTTGACCATTGGCGTTCAGCCGTGACTGTAATAAAAGTGCAAAGTGTAAGCCTCGTGTGTGCGAGTGTGTGCTCAACTAAAAATTCCATAAAATTTATTGTGCACTTCGATATGCCAATAAGAACATTGTCAAATGTTAATTTCACGCCTCACGGACTGCTCCTCCTCCCTTGAGGCATTAAGAAACATCTCAAATTACGAATCACAATTGGTTTGATAGCAACTAAGACCTCTTGTCAATAAATTCTTGGATATTAAGTTTAGTCTTTGTACATTTTATATATTTTTCAAAACATTTTTCATTGGGTTTGGTTTATAAAATAAGGTAAACCAAATTCTACTTGTATTATTTAAAGATCAACTAGTTTATCTTTCCATCTGTACCAAGTTTTCCGTGTGTAAATATGCCTGTCTAGTGACGATATCCTTTTTTCCCTAGGACACCGCCTGCCAATAATAGTTAATGCCAAACTGCATTAATTAAATTAAACGTCAAAATATTATATTAAATACGAATAATGCAAATGAAGGCGCATCACGTGCCGCCCTCATTTACCAATATCTACAAATTCTACGTCTATATATTTCTGAACGCATGTGTAATATATGCAACTGGGTTAATTAAGCGGCAATTGAGGCGTGTCAAAAACGCTGCTAGGCATTGGAACCACCAAAAGTAAAAAAAAAAGAAATACTGTCGCATTGGGTCGCGGCAGATGAGGTCGAGTGCCACCTTCTTGCGAGTGCGAGCCACTAAATTGCATTAAAATTGCACTGGCAATTAGGCTTTGGCCCACGGCCACTCGATGGCGGTGCTGCTAATTTCGCCTGCAAATTAATTAGAATTATTCGGACAAAGCCCGGCCAGGCGGCGCACAAAGCCGGCAATTGAATTTAGCGTATGAATTGCATAAATAAAACAACATTTGTGGCGTTCTCGCTGCACTCTGCGGCTTTCGTCTGCTAATTTGGCAAAAACGCGTGCAGGTGTAAAGCGCTTTGGGTTTGCGGGTCGGCTTACTGGCACCGTGGAATGGCCGAGATGTGTGAGTGTTACCATTTGGTTTGGCCAAACGGGGCTCTGATTTGCGACCCACTGTGCCGGGGGGCAGTAAGCTGATTTCGCTAAGCGGATTGCATTGGTCACAACCACACAATGACGAGGATCGGCGACAGGTGAGCGAAGGAGCTGATGACATGAGATGATTGCAGGAAGCGCTAGCATATAGCGTTGCTTACCTTGGGCGAAGGCACCACGGAGAATGAGTTCATGATGCGGTCCGGATATTCCTCGCGGATCTTCGAGATGAGCAGCGTGCCTAGGCCGGAACCGGTGCCACCGCCCAGCGAGTGGGCCAGCTGGAAGCCCTGCAGGCAGTCGCAACCCTCAGACTCCTTGCGAATGACCTCCAGCACGGAGTCGATCAGCTCGGCGCCCTCTGTGTAGTGGCCCTTGGCCCAGTTGTTGCCTGCGGAAAGTAAGAGAAATTAATATAACTAAGACATAAATTCCACATTAAATTATTTAGTTAAAATCTCAAATTCTCTTTATTTAATTAGGCTTTAATTTCCCGCTGCCTTCAGGCTTGACTTCGGCTCTTGGGAAATGCAAATCAAAGTTCGCGGCAAATCAACAGCAGCGGACTAACCAACATCATGCACAGCCGCTGACATGTACAAAATTAATTTTCATCGTCATCCGCAGGCCATTCTATAATTACAATCATCCTCACCATCAGCATCATTAGCTGTGCTGGGTGGTTGGGTGATAGGCAGGGTTAGTAGTGGGCCAGTAGGCCAGAGTCACCGCCCAATATTGCCTCCGGCAGTTGCAGCAGCTATAACAACAACACGGCTTAATGCATCGCAGCGGCATTTGGCTGATAAGCTCGCCTGTGATAACAGTGTTCGCTATGCTCTTGGCACTTATCAAAGCAAGGACAAAGCACTACTCCTCTGTACCACCAATATCCGGAGCTCCTGCTTTCGTTGTTGCAACCCGGAGAGGCAGCTGCAATAACTGCCGTGGCAAGGGACAAACGCGGCGGCGTTGACAACCACCACCACCATCGTCTATGTGGGATGCGAAACAAAAGCATATTATCCCGAAAGGCTACTGGGAAACAAAGGCCACGTACCAGAGGACGAACACGACATGCACCCATTATGAAGTGCAACGGAAATGCATTAGCAAAACGAAAAAAAGGGGCAACTGAATAGACTTGTGCATTCTTCGCGCATATGAAACCAATTTGAAAGTATTCTTTGTCACAGAGATTTTGGGATAGTGGTTTTTATAGACCAAGCTTTTGCAGTTATTTAATTTATTTTCTGTTTCAGAGTCTTTGTCAATGAACATTTTCGTTTTCAAGAAGGAAATTCTACTCACCGGCTCCGGACTGGCCGTAGACAAAGTTATCCGGTCGGAAGAGCTGGCCCATAGGAGACTGACGAACGGAGTCCATGGTGCCTGGCTCCAGGTCGATGAGCACCGCACGGGGCACATACTTGCCGCTGCTGGCCTCATTGTAGTAAACGTCGATCCTTTCATGCTGCAGATCCGACTCCCCGTGATAGTAGCCATTGGGATCGATGCCGTGCTCATCGGAAATGATTTCCCAGAACTGTAAGAAAGAGAAGAGTGAAATATATTTCATTTCTGTCATCTCAAGTTGATATTTTAAAGATATTTATTATTATTTTCAATAAGGTTTTTCTATTGGAAAGGATTCCGAAGTTCGTAGAAAATTATTTCCGTGAATTTCCGGAAGGGGAACCGCCACTTTAATGCCGATTCAATAATGATTTAAGTGCATAATGGATGCCAGTTGATGTATGCAAATATGCGGCGGTCGCAATGAGCGCATTTGCATATGTGTGTGTGTGCATACCGTCCGCCTCACATGACGTATGCGTGATATTTCATGACAGCGCCCGTTTGTGTGCAATGAAATTTCGCGAAACTCTTACCTACCGCGCTCCCTTGATTTTTTTCCCCTCTTTTCGGCACGGCACAGAAATATTATTTTACAATCAATGTTCCGGCTCGTTTGTGTGAGTGCTGGTGTCCCGTGTGCTGAAGTGTGTGTTATTGGATGCGTGTGTGTTTGTATTGCATTGCTTTGGCAATCAATGCATATAAATATGAGTGTCCTTTTTACATGGCTCTTGCTTTTATTGCCGCCGCCATTGAAGCTCCCGTATCTGTCGTCGATTTATGCGCGCGTGCATATGCTGCATGACCCTGCCCCTCCTGTCCTGTCCCTCCTGGCCCACGCACACACTCGCACAAGCAATCGCACCCGCAGCACCCGAGCACTTTACATGCCGTGAGCAATTTCTGTTGCATAGTTTCATGGGCGCGCAATTTTTTCCGCGCCGTGTTATTCTTTTTTTGTTGTTGTGTAACGAGCGGGAATAATTGAATCCTTTTAGGTGTTTTCATACACATATACCAGCACACACACACACAGTTATGCTATACATACATATTTCCTGACCCCCATCTCGATTCCGCTCCTCACTTGTATTTATACAAGAATTCCCTTAGCTTGCCTCGCGTTTGTTTTGTTCTTGGGTTGGCTCTTTATTTTTTATTGCACAATACGCTTGGCAAAACATTTCACGTTTGCTGCGCATATGAATTTCAAATTTTTAAAAATGTTTCAATCGCTTCCCCTGCCCGAACTTGCCTTCTCCCTCTGCTCCTCCCCTGTTTCTCCCACTCGACAGGTGTATGTGCGGGCAGGTGGGCAAGAGGCGGGCAAGCGGGGAAAATGCTAATTGTGAGAAAATCGCAATGTGCGCTCGGCCTGCCACGGCTCCCATTGATCGAAATGATTTTTAATGGACTTAAAGCCAGCCAAGGGCCATGGGTTCGTATTTTTTTTTAAATATATTCTTTACGCATGTATTCCTGCTTCACTGGCACTATTGAAGGTCGGCTGCAGATTGATTACTGAATATGAATTTTAATTAGTTACAAATGGCGGCGAAGGGAAGGGTGACTTTCCCAGTTGTCAACTTTTAAGACAACCTGTCGCGGGGTAAACATATTTGGTTTTATTCTGTCTCTGTAATGCTTTATAAATATAAATCTTTTTAGAAACCATTATTATTTAAGCACTATAAATTATTATAATTCTGTTTTATATACTAAACGAAACTAACTTATTTATAAAGCAAGTCAATGAAAAATTCCTAATTTATTAAAAATGTTATAAATATTTTTGTACAAGATTTCCTGCCAAAAATATTCCCAGAAAATGCGGACTCTAAGTTCTTTCTACCCTGTAAAAAAGGAGTTCTGAATAATGCATGACACCCGGTGTTTATGTCAAGTCCGCTTGTCAGACATTCCATCGAGCACTCGGAGGCACACTCTGCGCAGGATGCCCCCACACACATGCACATATATATAGCCATAAATAGTTAAGTGGCTTGCGTGAAGCGTTGAAGTCTTTCTCGGTGTGGGGCGAACAAAGGGGGACAAGGGTGAGCACCGGGGACTTGGCCATGTTGAAGAAAGTTGTAAAAGTTCGAAAAATTTGATAACGGCTGATTGCACACACACAAAGCGGGCTTCGGCAAATGCATGTCCTTTGTGCCGGCCCCAAAGCGTATGCTACTCCTTTTTCGCATTTCGCATTCAGAGTCTTCGAAGACGCCATGCCATGCTAATCGGAGAGCCGCATAAATGTTTGCGCTGCCAGTGCGATTGTTTGGCAAAAGTTTGCTCCTCCATTGGCTTTTAGACACGCAACAATGATAACAAGTTGCATGGCCAAAACACACACACACAGAGACAAGCAGGAAAGAATCGCTGGCCAGGAAAACTTGCCAGTAAAAGTTTGGCCCTCACATGCTGGCTTTTTGCATACATAACAAACTGGAAATATGACACTCAATTGTACGCATCGGTGGGCACTTTTGGCTTGACAATAACTTTGATTTGCATGCGCCTCCACCTTCCACGGTTTTCCCTGGAAAAACCCGCATGGGATACGGGCCCAAAGTCCCCGGTGCCTGGCACTTGTTGCCCCGTGGGGAAATTCAAATGTGTTCTCGTGCCTTCTTCTTCGAAGCCAATTGCAGATAAGCGCTTTTCCTTTGACTACTCTCGCTCCGTTTGCCAGCCGTTGGCATTGAGTGAGCAACATAATTTATTTACGCAAACTTTGCCGGTCAATCTGCCTGCCCATCATCCCTGCCCGTCATCCTGACAACAAGACATCGGCAGCGCCCACGTTTGGCAGCTTGAAGTGGGTAAAGTGACCGGAGACAGGCCATCAGCTTCCTATTTGAAGCTGAAAAGTGGAGCCAACAAGAAACAGAAAAAAAAAAGGAAAACAATTATGCTGCCTTTCATTTGCTTAAAACTTTTTACTGGCCGCGGTCAAATTGCTTAATTACAAAATTGCGTTGATGCGCGGGTCTGGCGGCAACCTGGGAGGGGAACCTGGCCAAAGTACTTGGCCAAAAAGGAAAAATGCCATGATCAAATTAAAAGTAAACAAAGAGCTGCGTGCGTTGACCAAAGCGGCGCCATTTTACGGCGCCCGCTTTTTGTTTTTTGGCCACCAAAGTCTGAAGCTCTCGAGCCCAGGACTAACTTGAAAGAAATCCAACATTAAAATTCCCAAAGCGTTTGAAAAAAAAAAGAGAACTGAAACAAAAGTCAAGTGGCTAAGACGCGATCCGCAGGAAGTTGAAAAAAACGCGCATAAATTAATTGTGGCCAGCTTTTACAGGGAGGAAAACTGCAGAAATTTATTTGATATTTGGAGATAATATTTAATAAAATTATATAACTAATACAAGAAAAACCGTAGGATAATCCCACTATTTACTATTTTAAAAAAGAATTTAGATTTACAAAGAGTTTTAATATAAATAGGAATAATAAATTGGTTTTCTTATCTATTTCAATTTAAATTCGAAGTATTTCCTACATTTAGCATACTTTTTCTCCGTGTACTTTGCCATTGTGCCCTCCTCCTTAGCCCGTGGTTATAAAAGGACATTTTAGTTTGCGTAAGACAGGGATGCGCAAAGCAACGGAAGTGCATGTCGCACCGGAAGTGAAAAACGGGCGATGGCGCGGAGAGAAAACGGAAAGGGGGTGGCAGATTGCTCGGCAGCTGCGTTTGCATACTAAATTTGATGCTGTAGCTCGCGGCTCACATAAATAATAAACAATTGCAGTAATAAATATTAAATGATGGCCAAGTTTGCCTCAAGGCGCTGAGCTTGACATGCGAAATGATTTCGTTGGAGGTCCTGATCTCCCGGCTATTAATTCATATTTCGGAAAACCTATTATCTAATTAATTTAGACATTTGTTTTTGATAGACTCTTCATTGTCGGATTTGATTTTTTTGTTCAGCAAACAAACTGACGGAAGATTTAATTAAGTGTCAGCAGTCCGAAAATAAATTTAAATAATTCATTAGAGCAATGTAAAGTTGTCTGATAGTATGCTGCCGCTTTTATTAAAATTCAATTAAAATAAATAATTAAATATCCATATATATTTTCAATATGCCTGAATATTTTGGGATAAAAAAAAAAAACATTGCAATGTGCTTCTAATTAACATTCAGTGCGTGGCTGAACGCTGTGTATGAAAATCATTAAAAGTTCAACCGCATTCGCATTAACCCGCTCCGCCCGCAGCGATTTCTTAACCCATTGCGGAACGGCGCCCGAGGAGAGACTAGAAATGCTTTCGGTTACCGGCCTTAAACTAATTATAAAATAATAAACAGGATTTCAGCGCATTTCGATCATTTGCCAATTTACAAATGTGCGACAAATCCGTGCGATTTGCGGGCAAACGCTTAAAATGCAAAGCGTGCAGCTAAGTTAATTTATTTTAATTTCGCCGAGTGAACCGAAAAATCTATTTGAATTTTTGGCATGGAGGGGGATTGCATTTGGCGTCCATTAGAGTAATGAGCTTTGGCCGGCGGTCCTGGGGGCGGTGCGTGGAGTGGATTGGGCGTGAAATAACCCTTTCAAAATAAGGGCAATAAAACTGAAAATTCGAATGCCAAAATGCTCTGGAAACTTAACGGCCGCCCATCGATGGATGACACTTTGCAGCCTGCGGCCATAAACCATTCGTTTCGATTCGATTCGGAGTGACAAAAAGAACAAAAAGGATAAATCCAACATGTACATGACATATCCCGGCGCTATATCCTTGACTGGGCAGCTGGAACTGGAGCTGGAACTGGCAATTGGCAGCTGAGCTCCATCCGTCTCCGACTGCTCAAAAATGCAATTTATGTGTGCGCAACGCAAATAACGAATTGTACCCCAAACTACGCTTAATGCTTCTTTACAGGGCGGGGCGGGGCGAAGGAGAATATTTTGTAATAACACTAAAAGGATCTTATCGACAGTTGACAGCCGCAGCAGCACTCGCATGCTGTCTTTATTGGCCAGCGTCGTTTAGGGCCATAAAACGCTTCGCAACGGACTGAGGACTGAGGCCATAGCCTGCTTTTCGGAGCGAGTCCTGCGAAAGAGGACGCTCCATTCGGCGGCATAATTAGACTCACGTAGCCATTGCGAATGAAGCAATTGGCGATGCAGCTGCAATTTATGGCCCGGCATGCG